GGTTAGAATACGTGGGTATGTAATATTATGTACTATTCTGATATATCCTAAAAAGTTAGAATAGGTGGGTATGTAATATTATGTAATATTATGTACTATTCTAATATATCCTAAAAAGTTAGAATAGGTGGGTATGTAATATTATGTACTATTCTGATATATCCTTAAAAAGTTAGAATAGATGGTTATGTGCTATTATGTATTATTATATAGTATTATAATATATCCCAAAAAAGTGAGAATAGATGGGTTTTCACTATCATATATGATGATGTACTCTGACAAACTATCTGAATTAAGAGAGGTAAGGTAGATATGTATTAGAACTACAATCATTTAGATTTTTGTAACTGTACAATAGGCGTGAATGGTTGGATTGCGTTGACACAAATGAATTATGAATGTTTCCTTCCTGTGTAGATCATCGGTAATATCATGTATCATAACGAGAAAGCATTTACTTGTTTACAGAATGTTAGCAAGTTATATCTGGTCATTTTGATGAAAGTGCATTTTTTTTCTTTGTTGTATAGGTTGTTCATTTATTATGTATTTAACAATTTGTTTTATTTTTGATGAGAAGAACACGAAAAATATGAAGAGGTATGTATGAAAAGAAATGACTGAAAGAAGTAATGAGTTGTATGTACGAAACTATGTGCAAGTTCTATGTATTTCGATATTATTGATAAATCGATGTTTTTGATGATCTAAATAAGAACAAGTGATGTATATGGATTAAATATTTTGCTGCTCATGACTGTAGTTTAAGAAAAAGGCTTAGCAAGTAGCTTTTGTTAAAATTGATTGTCGACGTTATTGTCTGTGTTCATAACGGAACAGCTAATCATACATGCCGACGAAGAGCAGCCTAAATAAAAAAACATATAACCTATCGTGTGTTGGTGGCCTTTTATGTTTTTTTTTCTGTTTTTAGAAAACGTTTTAAGGACTGTTCGCAAAACGCACCTTTTACGTATTTTCGACTGTATTCGAATTGGTTATCACAAGTATTACGTTCACAATTCATAAGATGGAATAATACCAAATAAGCAATACGAGCTTTCTTTGATGAATAAGGTGACAGGGCATTGTGATATTGTTTCAAGACACTATTTCTTTGTTCCGCAACTTCAGTGTTAATACTTTTAGCTGCTGCATCTGTGTGAATATAGTCTAAGTTTCTTTCTTTTTGGCACATAGGCCGTTTATGATTCGGTTGATGGAATCGATCGATGAAGAAGGAGCATTCAGAAATAAATTTCGATGATGATGTTGGCGGAATATGTCGATTAGGATCGCTTTTCCCATATCGATTCCAAAAGTAGATATATAAGCTACAAGCGTTATCATAAATAATCATTTTTGGTAAGTATTGCTGATATTGACTATTGATAACATGTATGATTTTGAATAAATGCTGTAAAGCGATAAAACAAGATTCTGATCGAAAAATTTCATCAAAGCCGACAACTATTCCACACGGAGACAGTGTGTAAATAATACCTTGTGAGAATCGCTTTTCTAGGTCCACGAAACTAGAAAAAAAACTATCTATAATAATATCGATATACTACCAACATACCGATCTTCTCTAGAAACATTGCATCCCATCAATGGATCATCATAAATCCCTTTATCATCATCAGTTAATAAAGATGTTTCACTATCTTTTAATAAAATGGATTCACGGCATGATTCACATAAGCCGGACTTTGCTTTCGGTGTGTTACCACAGCCAACGTAAATTCCATCAGGAAATTCTTCGGTATATTCCTGTTTATTCTTATTAGTACAAATTGGTCTCGCAACTTTTTGCATGCCATCCAAGACAAAACATTTCATACAACCAGGATCTATATTCGTTCTTGTTGCTGCACATGGATGTGTTCGATGATGAGTTGCCCAATTATTAACAAAATCATTGTACCATTGATCGTAGTTCATATAGAAAAAGTCATAGATAGAATTATTATCTAATAAACCTGGTATTTCAAATTCCCGAAGATCATTCATAAAAAATGTATATAATGATAACTGATATATAAACCAAATGTTGGAGAAATATTCTCGACTAATTTCAGATGTTATTTCATGTACCTGAAATAAAAATGCGCAAATAGGTTTCAAAAAAAATCTCCAACGAAAAAAAAGCAAATCAAAGAAAATGAGTTACTTCTGCATACAAAAGAAAAAAATATATAGAAAAAGCTTATCGATTTCTCCAATACTAAATATCTATACTTACGGCACTTTTATTTGAATTCAGATTGTGATATTTTTTAAGAGATAGATTATACGAATTTTCGAAGTTTTCAAAACCGGAATATTGCCGTAAGAAAAGAGACGTAAAATTTATTAACAATTGAGTAGAATAAGCTTTCTTGCCACCAAAATAAATGTATTCTTGATTGTATAAACAATTTGTTGTCACGAATCTTTTTCCATTGGTAAGCTTTTCGAAATAATTTGGGTAAAATTTTTGATGACATCTATTGCATTTGGAATAATAAACACCACCTTTAATAATTTTATCTAAATTATATATATTGATATACTGATTAAAAATCACATCAAGGTCTTCTTCACAGCTAATGCGTTTCTTCGTGAATGATTTTAAACAAATCAAAGTTGCTTTTGTATCAATTACTGAACTTGTCATATAATGATTGAGTAACTGACTGATATCAAAAGAATGAAACAGTTCATTCATTTCACCATTATTTAAACGATTGATGATTTCTTGCACCGTAGCTTCCGTAAGGTTCGTATTAAATTTAACATTGACCATATTTGTAATGTCTCGTGTGCGAGTTATAATGATAGAGTCTAAACGATCATTTAAATCTTTTATTAGGTGAAGAATTTTGATTTTGAATGTTCGATGTAATGTCAAGATATAAACTTCATCAGAATTTGTCACTATGATATTTGATGACATTCTAGAAAAAAAAAGCATTTACAAAAAAGTTTGTTATTTCGAATAATGCGTTGAACAGTTTCAACCTTTGAATGGCATTTTATCAAATGATATAGGTTTTGTACTCTATGTGACAGTTCATATGCATGAATAGAAAAGCATTCAAATTATTATGAGTGGCTAATAATTTTGTCACATTTTCTCAAATTCTTTATATCCATTAGTAGATACATGCAAAAGCAGATATAAATCATTTATTCCAGTTTATTTCACGTTTGCAGAACAAAAAGCAGTAAATGAATAATATCATATAAGATTAAACACTATTTTCAATAATGATATAACACATCATCTTTCAAGGTTATTTCACGAAAAATAAGTAAAACCATTTTTGTTTTAGAACAGCATGAACGTTTACAGGGTAGTACGATGAATGTAAAACAACACATAGAGAGAAGGACAACATAGCAGTAAACATAGCAAATAAAAGATGATTAAACAAGAAGGCATCTTAATGACAATAACAACGTTCGAAGAAAATACCTGATACATAATTGAGAACTCGCTTAAGTTCTAAAGACTTACAACAGAGAAAAGGTTCAGTTCGGGCTATCTAATCTTTTTCGCATAGTTATTCTGATTGTGTACACAATATATCGATAACAACAACAAAAAACAATAAAAAAGCAACATGTGAAGTTACTTAAAGACTTTATTTTTCATATTATTTATCGAGACGTCGACTTTTCGATCTGGTTCTCATAGGACTTAATTCACGTCTTGTTCGTTTAGGCGTTGATGGTGCATTTGATATTGGATTATTAAATGGTATTTCTAGAAAATCGACAAATAATTATATTGAAAAACAAAAACACTAAATTGCTTCTAATTTTATAGTCTCATGCCAGAAACGATTGTAAAACTGTTTTCTTTACAAAAAGTGGAAACGCTGAATAGATTTAACCATCCCAGGTCGATGATTCCGGAGGAATCTGCCGGAAAACGAGGAAAAAATCTTCATATCCTGCAGGAAAGTACAGGAATTAGAATGGAACTTTAAGGAAAAAAATCCGGAGATTTTCCGCCGGAATACTGCTTCCATGTTCCGGGTATTTCCAGCGTTTTACGGTCGATTCCCACCGTACGCTTTCGACCTGGGCTCTAACAATCACATGATTAAATAAGCTGTCAACAGATCAAGTGAAAAATAAAAGAAATTATAAATACTTTACCAATAGGTGCTGAACTAAATAATGTTGATTGAATTAAAATACTAGATGTATCATTAATTGGTAAAGATTGTGTAACAATGGATGCTATTGAATCTCCATGTATTGAATTTGAATCTAGAGCAGAAAAGATTTTTTAATGTATTGGTAGAAAATAATCAAGCATTACTTTCTTGTTCTGAAAACGAAGCCAGATGAATATCTTGAACTGATGTTAAACTTAAATTTGCTGGTTCTAAATAAAGAAAAATAATCATATTTTTATACTATTATCTTCAGGATCGAGCGGCGAAAGAATTATCCAGAAAGGAGACGGTGCAGCTTCATGTATAACATTAAATGAGTAATGAAAAATTAGTAATTAAATTACCTGTTTGATCTTGTCGATGGGCTACAAGTGTTTCTGAAAAAAAAACAATATTCTTAAATGTATGGGTACATCTATTCACAATATATAAAATACTTTTTTCCTTTTTTTCAAGAATAATTGTTTCATCCAAGATGAATCCAATATCAAGATATGGTTTGGAACGAAGAATTATTGCTGCAGCTAGTGATATCAAGCCTGATGAATAACTATTACCAACTTCCACTTGTCGAAAAGATGAAGCATATTGATTCCATGTTATTCCAAAAATATTTAATTTGTTTTGTTGGAAACTCAAGGTTGTTGTTGTATTTGTTGGATCAATTGGTAATTTTTTTATCCAATTAGTAGAAGATTTTGTTGAACATGCTATAAATTGACCTTCCATCAATAAATCAGCTGTTAATAATAATTGTGTTGCTTGGTGGCACAAATTGGCATCGCCACCAAACCGTCGATTCCAGCATGTTCGTGTAATAACAGGTGAATTGGATAAAAGAAATTGTTTACATTTATCTAGAATACGCTTTGGTATCGATGAAGGATTTGCCAATGCTGCAACTGGATCAAATGTAATTGTTTGAGATGTTGAAGATAATGAAGCTGATGACATTGACGAAAAATTTAAAAATTGTTCGTTGGAAATTTCTAAACCATATGAAACATAAATTGAGAGATTAGTAACTAACTAGAAATTCATATACTTTCACGATTTGAGTTTGGACTTTGTAACGATTCAATTTCTCGAATAAGATTAGAAGACAAAGAATTTTGATTTGAAAGTAGTTCCAGTTCATTGGATTGTTGCTGTGGAACATGTACATTTAAAGTGGAATGATCCTTATCTTAATAAAGTACGGATAGAAATATTTGATATTAAACTATAGGAATCCAAATGTACCGATTGATTCCCTAGGTGTTGATGTGTTCACCATTGACGGTTTGAAAAAACTATAGCTTTCGACGTCTGAATCTAAGAAAAAGATAAATGGTTAAAATACATATAGAAAGACGAAAATAAAAGAAATATAAATGATGAATTAGTAAATTACCATTCTGGTCAAAATCGAATTCATTATCTGTTTCCAATCTTTGTTGGTGGAACTGAGATGACATTCTTGATGAAAATTCTTTGTCAAAATTCTCTTTAGATGTTATAATTTGTGAACGCGAATTGAATGGTTTATCTTGACCTAGAACATTAAAGAACACAGTATATTGATAAAAACAATGAAACAAATTTATTAGTTGATAATAATTTTCTTTGAATTACCTTCTTTTGTATTTGATGTAGTTGACTGTGCAGCAATATCAGTTGTAGTTATTATACTATACAAATGGTCAAGAGCAATTGATTGGTCTGGAGAAAGAAGACGATAAAAAATAAGAATAGAAAAGGTAGGACATATATAGATAATATTCACTTTCAACAGATACACTAATCTGTTGTTGATGATTGGACGAAGCTTTGCTATAGTCGATTGGCATATAGTCTTCATTATCAGTAATTGTAGAATCATCTTAATAGATATAACAAAAGAAGTACATACGTGCATTGCATGCATAGAGAAAAGGAGAAAGAATTCTGACCAACATAAAGTATAATATAAATTTCTTTGAATAATCTGACCTGAGTAGCATGTCAACTCGCTGACATGCTTTAAAGACTAACACTGATATGAGAAGATGAGCGAAATGAAATCATTAGAAATTAACAAAAACGAATGGCTGACGATAATAATAAATACCTACCATGAGATGAAACGTTTTCGTGATGTTGCTCTGTTTGACCATCGACTGATTGCCTCATATTATTTGGTAGAGTTGTTGAACTATTCACTTGATTTCCTAAAAGCAATGATTTATATTTCATCAATTTATCTCACAGAATAAAAGTTAATAAATATTACTCATATTGGACATAGCATTTGTCGATGAAGATGCATTATGTTGCAATACTGGACTATTGTTCGAAAGAAGATTATCTAGAAAACTCAAGGTCAGTATTAGAAAATAACCGGTAGAAGTAATTATTATAAGCACTTGAGTTCATTGAAATGTTATGTGGTGGTAGCATATTGTTTGTTTGACGTTTATTGACAGAATCGACTGATGACAAATCAAGTCCATTGTTCGACAATGAATCGAATGCATTAATCGATGATAAATCGAGTGCATTGATGATGTGTGAAACTAAAATCATATATCATACGAAAAGCTCAAAGTAGAGACTTCAAATTATTTTATAACATGAGTTCTTTCTTTTATTCAATACTACTAATATGGAGTCGAAAATATAGTAAAAAACATTTTACCATGAAAAGACTTACTGCTAGTATTTTGATTGCGTCCATTTTGTGTTCCACTATCTTGTGGTGCAGAAGATTGTTGCCGTTGGACGTCATGAGTATCGCCAAAACCCATATTTTGTTTTTCTAATTCGAGTTTACCATACGAAGTTACTCGAGTTGATGGAGGTGAAATTTCGCTTTCTCGAAATAATTGTTGATATTCTTCGAAAGAGATATCATGCTTTTTCAATTGGACTGATAACTGTTGCTGTTCAGTTAAAGCACATGGTAAATATTTTATGTACGATTCGTATTTAATCGATCTTTCCGATTGCAAATAATTTCCTTTTTTCAAAATACCTCGTTGAACGAGACGATCCAGCAAATGGTTGAGTAAATCCTTGTCAATATTTTTTAACATACCATTATTTCCAGATAATGCTGTTTTATGAAAAATCCGATATTTCACTTTTAAGATTCGAGTTTGTAAACCAAGTTCAGATGATGTTTCAATCGTATCATTATGATAACGGTAATTCATAATTGTGAAATGTTGAGGAATGAAAATTTTGAAGAAAATTTTCACGG